GAGGGTGGGGGTTTGGTGAGAGGGGTGAGGGTGGGTGAGGAGGGTGAGGGTGGTGAGAGTGTGAGGGTGGTGAGAATGTGATGGTGGTGAGAGGGTGAGGGTGGTGAGGAGTGTGAGGATGGTGAGAGGGGTGAGGGCGGTGGAGGGTGGGGGGTTTGGTGAGAGTGGTAGGATGGTGAGAGTGTGAGGATGGTGAGAGGGTGTGGGTGGTGAGAGTCTGAGGGTGGTTGAGGGGAGTGAGGATGGTGAGAGGGTGAGGGTGGTGAGAGTGTGAGGATGGTGAGAGGGTGGAGGGTGGTGAGAGTGTGTGGGTTGTGAGAGTGTGAGGGTGGTGAGAAGTGTGAGGATGGTGAGAGGGTGTGGGTGGTGAGGAGTGTGAGGGTGGTGAGAGATTGAGGGTCGTGTGAGTGTGAGGATGGTGAGAGTGTGAGTATGGTGAGAGGGTGAGGGTGGTGAGAGGGTGAGCGTGGTGAGAGTATGAGGGTGGTGAGAGTGTGAGGGTGGTGAGGGGTGTGAGGATGGTGAGAGGGTGGTATGGTGAGAGGTTGAGGGTGGTGAGAGTGTGAGGATGGTGAGAGGGTGAGGGGTGGTGGGGTGTGAGGATGGTGAGAGGGTGAGGGTGGTGAGGTGTGAGGGTGGTGAGAGGGTGAGGGTCGTGAGAGTGTGAGGATGGTGAGAGTGTGAGGATGGTGAGAGGGGTGAGGGTGGTGAGAGTGTGAGGGTGGTGGAGTGTGAGGATGGTGAGAGGGTGAGGATGGTGAGAGGGTGAGGGTGGTGAGAGGGGGGAGGGTGGTGAGAGTTGTGAGGATGGTGAGAGGGTGAGGGTGGTGGAGTGTGAGGATGGTGAGAGAGTGAGGGTGGTGAGAGGGTGAGGGTGGTGGAGGGTGTTTGGTGGTGAGAGGGTGATCGTGGTGAGAGGGTGATGGTGGTTAGAGGGTGATGGTGGTGAGAGGGTGATGGAGGTGAGAGGGTGATGGTGGTGAGAGGGTGATGGTGGAGAGAGAGTGATGGTGGTGAGAGGGTGATGGTGGTGAGAGGGTGATGGTGGTGAGAGGGTGATGGTGGTGAGAGGGTGATGGTGGGGGAGAGAGTGATGGTGGTGAGAGGGTGATGGTGGTGAGAGGGTGATGGTGGTGAGAGGGTGATGGTGGTTAGGGGTGATGGTGGTGAGAGGGTGGTGGTGTTGAGAGGGTGATGATGGTGAGATGTTGATGGTGGTGAGTGGGTGATGGAGGTGAGAGGATGATGGAGTTTGAGAGGGTGATGGTGGTGAGAGGGTGTGGTGGTGAGAGGGTGATGGTGGTGAGAGGGTAATGGAGGTAGAGGGTGATGGTGGGGGAGGAGGGTGATGGGGGTTTGAGAGGATGATGGAGATGAGAGGGTGATGGTGTTGAGAGGGTGATGGTGGTGAGAGGGTGATGGCGGTGAGAGGGTGATGGTGGTGAGAGGGTGATTGTGGTGAGAGGGTGATGGTGGTGAGAGGGTGATGGCGGTGAGAGGGTGATTGTGGTGAGAGGGTGATGGTGGTGAGAGGGTGATGGTGGTGAGAGGGTGATGGTGGTGAGAGGTGATTGTTGTGAGAGGGTGATTGTGGTGTGAGGGTGATGGTGGTGAGAGGGTGATGGTGGTGAGAGGGTGATTGTGGTGAGAGGGTGATGGTGGTGAGAGGGTGAGGGTGGTGAGATATGTCTTAACTCACATGTGCATATAACATGTATGTGTCATATTAAAGTTTGGGCTATGACAAAACTCAAGTTACACATGGGGCGCACACACAACACACCACACACACACAAAACACACACACACACACACCACACAAAAACACAAACAACACACACACACCCCCACCACCCACACACCCACCACACAACACACACCCACAACACACACACACACACACCACACACACACACCACACCCCCCCAACACCACACCACACACCCCCACACACCCACACACCCCCACCACCCACCACCACACACACACACACACACACACACACAAAAGACACACACAGACACACACAGACACACACACACACAACACACAACACACACAACACACACACCACACACACACCCCCACACCACCACACACAACACACACACACATAACAAGACTCGTCCCGGAGCAATGTTTGTTTGCGTGAAACGAAAGGGAAAATCGACCTGGCGACACGGGAAAAAACAGGAGGAAGGGATATATAAGACATATGAAATACTAGGGGAAAACGCAAGGAAGGAGCAGGATGTTCCAGAGATTGGAAAACAAAAGGAGTCACATTGGGAAAGTTAAAAGACTCAGTGAATAAAAAGGGATGTTAGGGAATATTTTTCAGAAACAGAGTTGTGGGGAAGTGGAATGGGCGGGAAAGTACTAGTGGGGCAGGATGTACATAAACTTTAAAAAAAGGGGTATTAAAGGTCAGAAGCGGAAGAGTGCCAGTAGCGACCAGTGGGGAGGCGGAGCCAGGAGCTGGAATCGACCCCGAACCCAAAATAGGTGAGACAACTAGGTGATACTAAAACAACATGCCGTACACGGGAGATACTGAACTGCGGTTCACCACTTGCCGATTGCACATTTCTTAAAAAGATTTCGAAAAATTATAAAAAGACGCAGAGGAGTGCCGGAGAGCAGGGGTTTTGTCAAGAGAAACTCAGCACAGATTTAGGGCTGGAAAATCCTATTTAAAAACTTGCGTGAGTGTTCGATACACCTTCAATGTGAAAAAAAGACAGGTGGGGGGCCCGAGTCTTACGAAAAGCCAAAAGAAGGACCCAGAGGTAACTCATAATTGTTCGCTTCATTTAACGGGAAGAAAGGGCAGGAATAAAAGTACACCAATGGGTGGGTAATAGCTGAGAAGAAGAGAGGAGGAGAGAGAGAGAGAGAGGGAAAGAAGGAAGGAAGGGAGGCAAGAAAGGGAAAAGAAAAGGGGCTAAAAAACATTTAAGATTTCAGATGTATTTGGAAGCGCAGACAAAAGGATGCAAACCACTCTACGAGGCACAATTTTTCTCCCTGATTTTATGCACCACTCTCTTCGATTGTTTGCCCTCAATCTCATGGAGTCTTCGGGGACTTTTAAAGAACCTTGAAAGATAACTCATCTTCGCCTGGCCCGCCCTGAACAGCCCGTTATTTGGGAAAAGAGCGTTAAACATAGGAGAGGCTAATATTGTCCAGGTACCTTTTGGGTTCCCACTTCGCGAACGCGAGAAGAACCTGTACAAAAAGAGGGGCAGCAAACAGCAATTAACCTGGCTGTACTCTTCTCAAGGCATCACTTTATCTAAGATATTCATTTCTAGATGCTCGATTTGGAAATTCGTTCACATAAAACAACTTGTGAAATAAAAACAATTGATCAAATGAAAACTCTAGCCCACAGCTGGCTCCAACTTTATCTTATTTTTTTAATGTCTCTAACAATGAATTTTAAATTTAAAATAATTAGGGAAAGGGGTTTTAAAAGAGTGAGGTAAGTAACAGCTCTTAGCTGTAACCTGTAAAATCCTTCCAGTGAGAGAGGAGGGAGAGAGAGAGAGAGGGAGAGAAGAGAAGAGAGAGAGAGAGAGAGAGAAGAGGAAGAGAGAGAGAGGAACAATTACCAAAACTTTTTTGAGTAAACAAAAGTCAGAAATACAAAAAGAAAAGGAGTCTCTAAGCTAACCTATGACGTGAGCTAAAAAGGGTAATTTAAAGTTCCATTCATGGTGTAGCTCAGGGGGCCATTATGGGCGAGCCAGGGGGCCCTTCATGGGGCGTGCTCAGGGGGCCCCTTTATGGGTCTTCAGGGAGCCCCTTTATGGGTCGTAGCTCAGGGAGCCATTCATGGGTCGTAGCTCAGGGAGCCATTCATGGGTCGTAGCTCAGGGAGCCATTCATGGGTCGTAGCTCAGGGAGCCATTCATGGGTCGTAGCTCAGGGAGCCATTCATGGGTCGTGCTCGGGACCATTCAGGGGGGGTAGTCCGGGAGCCCTTCCATGGATCGTGTCAGGGGGCCATTCATGGGTCGTTTGCTCGGGAGCATTTTTGGGTCGTAGCTCAGGGAGCCATTCAGGGTTTGCTCAGGGAGCCATTCATGGACGTAGCTCGGGAGCCATTTATGGGTCGTAGCTCAGGAGTATTTAGGGTCGTAGCTCAGGGGGTCATTCATGGTCGTCTCAGGGACCATTTTAGGGTCGTAGCTCAGGGACCATTCAGGGTCTAGCTCTGGGAGCCATTTCATGGGTCGTACTCAGGGGGTCATTCAGGGTCGTAGTGGGAGCCTTCATGGGTCGTAGTCAGGGATTTTATTCTGGGGGCGTTTCAGGGAGCCTTCATAGTCGTGCCAGGGGGCCATTTTGGGGCGTAGCTCTGGGGGCCATTCATGGGTGTAGCTCGGGGGGGCATTCATGGGTCGTAGCTCAGGGGGCCCTTCAGGGCGTTTGCTCTGGAGTCATTTTGGGTCGTGCTCAGGGGCCTTTATGGGTTAGCTCAGAAGCCATTCAGGGGGCTACTCAGAGAGCCATTATGGGTCGTAGCTCAGAGAGCCATTTTATGGGTCGTAGCCGAGAGCCCTTCATGGGTCGTCTCTGGGACCATTCATGGGGGTTTGCTAGGGGGTCATTCATGGGGGCGGCTCAGGGACCATTCATGGGTCGTAGCTCTGGGGGTCTTTTTCTTTTGGGGTCGTGCTCAGGGCCTTTCATGGGTCGTAGCTCAGAGAACCATTCATGGGGGCGTAGCTCAAGAGCCATTTTTTGGGTCGTTTGCTCAGAGAGCCATTTATGGGTCGTAGTCGGGAGCCCTTCTGGGGCGTAGCTAGGGGGTCTTCATGGGTCGTAGCTCAGGGATCATTTATGGGGCGTAGCTCGGGAGCATTCATGGGTCGTAGCTCGGGAGCCTTCATGGGGCGTGCTCTGGGGGCCATTCATGGGTCGTAGCTCAGGGAGTCATTCATGGGTCGAGCTCAGGGAGCCCTTCATGGGGGTAGCTCTGGGAGTCATTCATGGGGGTAGCTCGGGAGCCCTTTTTGGGTCTAGCTCGAGAGCCATTCATGGGTCGGACTCAGAGAGCCCTTCAAAAGGGTCGTAGCCGAGAGCCCCCTTTATGGGTCGAAACCAGAGAGCCTTCATGGGTGTAGCTCAGAGAGCCATTTTATGGGTCGTTTTTCAAGAGCCATTCATGGGTCGTAGCTCAAGAGCCCCTTCATGGGTCGTTTGCCAGAGAGCCATTCATGGGTCGTTGTCAGAGAGCCATTCCTGGGGGTAGCTCAGGGCCATTTATGGGTTGGGTCAGAGAGCCTTCATGGGCTTTCTCAGGAAACATTTATGGGGGCGTAGCTTGTTGCGGCCCCCTGCCCAAAATAGCGGTTTTAAAAAAGTTAACCTTCGGCCGGCGTCCAAGGGTACGTCTGAAACCCAATGGGGGACTGCTGACCGGGCCTTTGAACAGTAAGTTCCTGAGCCTCACGGTGCCATCTAAGCAGTAGGTACTGACCACCTAAGGGTACAGTCTACTGGCTTTAGTAACAGTATGTACCTGAGCGCCTCGGATACGCACCTAAGCAGTAGGTACCTGAAAAACCTAAGGGTACACGTCTACTGGCTTCAGCAACATTAAGTCCCTGAACTCCTCAGGGTACACATCTACGCAGTAGGTACCTGACCACCAAATCGTACCTATCTACTGGCGTTAGAAGAACCGCTCACCCGCAGCTCACTGAGTCTGTTGGCCTCAGTTACTTAAACGGCCGCATTCAGGGAGCTTGCAGCATGGTGTTCGGCTAGGGGTTTGTAAACCCGGCTTTGGAGAGGATTTACTGGACTACCGGTGATGTCTGTGGACTCCCCGTCTACGCTGATCAACTGTGGGCCGGAATCATCAGATGCGTTTGGTGGGACATTACATGAAGAAAAGGTTGGAGTGTTACACTGAACTGGGCCAGGACCGTAGTGTGACACTTAGGAAAGTTGATGGAGTGGAAAAACTGAGATATGCACAGGACCGTAGTGGAACACTGAGATGAAAAGGGTGTCGTGGGACACTGAAGATGGCCTGGTTGTAGTGTACACTGAATAGTGTCGTGTGACTGGCCTCGTGTCGTGAGAAGCAGTTGATTGTAATTTATTATTATTTCAAATGTTATTTATAATTTATTATTTTAGTATAGAGATATATATATATATAGTGACAGTAGTGTCAAGAGAGTTGTACCCTGTGTAGGGTCACGAATAATTATTTTAGTAAGATGCTAATTATAATTTATTATAGTAACATGTACATATTATTATATATCATAGTTCAAATACCTCTAGACCAAAGATAGTTGATTTATATATATTAAAGATTAATTGATTTTAATGTGTGTATTTATGTATCCCGAACTCTTTATTACAAAAGGAGTAAATCTTACCATCTTCCTTTAAAAATTACTTTTTTGTAATATAGCTCAGAGAGCCATTCATGGGTCGTAGCTCAGAGAGCCATTCATGGGGCGCAGATCAGGGAACCAATCATATTTCTATCTTTGAAATACATTATCTTACTCTCTTACATCACATGATTAAAAGAAACCATAATTTGTCAATTATTTCAAATAATAATAATTAGAGTAATGTAAATAGTGTTGAAAATACCAAGATCTCCCAAACTACTTTGACTTTCTGACGAGTGAAACACAAAAAAACAGTTACAGAGCAAAATCCTTCAACAGCAAAGTGAAAAACTCACTACCGCTAGGCACAGTCCTGGCGCCGCCTCTGTTTCTTATCCTCATGGCGAACACAGATAAAAATACTGGCCACAGTTTCGCATTATCATTTTGCGAATGCAAACACAATTTGCTTGAAAATCACCTCGGTAGAAGACACGGGAAAACTGCAAGAAGACACAAGCAAAGCCCTTCAGCGGCCAGTGAAGAACAACATGACATTCAGTGGTGATAGGTTCCAACTGCTAAGATATGGAAAGAATGAGGAATTCAAAAAGGACAGCATATAAAATAAAGAACAGCCCCAAACATAACAAAAGGAACATGTGAAAGACCTGGGAACAATGTTAGCTGATCTTTCTTTTGAAAAGTGCACTGAAGACGTCAGGAAAGCCAAAAAAAAAAAAGGACTGAGCAGATAATGAAACCTTTCAACATAAGGGAAACAGTGCCACTGACACTATTTAAATTTCGTGGGTTCTCTCGCTTAGAATACTGTTCAGTGTTGACGGCTCCATTCAAGGTGGGGTGAAAGATGAGCTGAAACAGATATAAATATCATTTATGGCCTGCATAGAGCAATAAAGCAAGTAAATTACTGGGAACCCCTCGAAGCCCTAAATATGTGCTCACTGGAGCAGAGGAGAGCATATATTATAATAATCCCATTTCAGAGGCAAGCTTCCTGGCAATCCTTAAGTCACGTGTAGACCTGGGGACAGACAGACGGACAAGCCGGACTCCACTACGAATACTTAATATAACTCCTCCATATCAGTATAACATTGTGTTTCTTGCTACCATAACATCATACCGAAGTGTAAGATATGGGATAAAATAAAAGATAAACCCAGTGAAAGGCAGGTGAACAGTGGGCACAATAAGAGCACACTGCATCAACATCAGTGGAGCAAGACTATTCAACACTGTACAAGATCAAGCGCCCTAATCTTCACGTCCTGTACAGTGCTACTGTCCATAGAGTTATTTTCCGTAACAAAAGAGCTGTTGGTGTCAGATATGAACACACTAAAAAAATGTTAACAGTGGGAACACTGCGTGAGGTCATATTGTCCGCTGAGCCGGTACCATCACCCAAGTTACTCATGTTGTCAAGAGTTGGACCTAAGGAACATCTCCAGCAGTATAAATTGAAGGTGGTGGCAGACATACCAGGAGTCAGCCAGAATATGCACGATCAATGTTGAAGTTTTAGGTCTCAGCTGGTTAGGCGTTAAGGCACATCTTCTCTGGGCTTACTGGAAACATTGAACCCCATTGCTATCAAGTAATACAGAGCCACCAGACAAGAGCCTATGGGTGCAGCACCACTGAATTTCCTAAATGCTTGGGTAAAACTGCCCCAAGAAGGCGCCCGACATGCAACTATTTTTCATTAGTGCCACTATAGCATTTGATAAGGACACTATAAATTCTGGCTTATATATGGTTTACCCAAGACCCATAAACACAATATTCCTCTCAGACCAATCACGTCAGGAATAGGCAGTGCTCCACACAAACTAGCCGGAGTTCTTGCCAAACATCTTTCCTGCCTTCTGGGGACCATCAGCCCTGCTCATCTTAAACACTCAGGCGACCTTCTCAACCGCATCCGAAACCTCTCCATCCATAACAAGAAACTAAGCAGTTTGGATGTGACTTCCCTCTTCACAAAAGTACCTACCAAAAAAGCCATCGAGGTTCTACGACGTAAAGTCAATCAGGACCTTAATCTTCCTCTACCTCCCGGAGATTTTGTTGACTTGATTGAACTCTGTGTTAATTTCAATGTTTTTCTTTCAATAACAAGCTCTACAAAAAAACCTAGGGCATGGGAATGGGGTCCCCCTCAGTGCCGCCCTAGCCAACTTATACAGGGAAACCCACCTAGAGTCCGAACACTTCGCCAACATCATCCCTTCAAGCGTCCTTGGTACGTTACGTGGACGACGTCCCGTAATAATTTCCCAAACGTTTTGATGTACAGAATCTACAGGCAAGGCTCAACGCAGTTAAACCCGGCGATCCGTTTACACTAGAAGAAGAGTCCAATGACAAGCTACCTTTCCTCGACGTCCACATTCACAAAGTAGACAACAACCTAAGATTTCAAGTGTATCGGAAACCCACCAATAAAAATGATCTCACACACTTCTATTCCAGTCAAGATACCAAGACCAAAAGAGGCATCATCATCGGGTTTTTCCTAAGAGCATACCGAATTTGTAGTCCTGAGTTTTTTGACGAGGAAATGTACCTACATTCACCAAACATTCACTGAGTTACATTTTCCTTCCTTTTTCCCCAAAGACTGCAAGAAAGAGCTTTCAGATCATTAATTCTCCACGCATTAACACCACTCCCAACAAAGTTTTTAATCTTCCCAACAGCCAGGTTGCACTAAACCCTTTTTCAAAAGTGCTTTCACAAGTAGCACCAGAGTTCGCCATCGCTTCTAGCACTTCAAAAAAGGGAATCTAACCAGGACAAAATCCAAGCACCACGAACCATTTCAACGCAGGAGTTTACACTATACCCTGTGGAGGCTTGTGACAAGATTTACGTAGGTGAAACAGCAAGAAACCTCGACTCTCGCCTCAATGAACACATTTCGCATGTAGGAACGATAACTTGAAAAACCCGCCTGTGTACAACACCAAAATTCTACCAATCATCTCATGAAATTCAGAGACGCCCAATTAGTGATTAAAGAAACTAATTTCCGCAGACGCAAGTGCCTCGAATCAGCACTGATCGCTGTTTCGAATACAATTAAACAAAACAACGGCAGCTTCACAATCTCTGAAGTCTTAGCAAGAATCCTCCTGAAAACAAATAAACCCTGCCATCACATAGTCTCTCCTGTTTTTACTACACAAAGCACATTTTCAGAGAGTGAACACTGAAACAGGCTGCCTCTTTCCAGTCTATATTTGTCCAACCTATTTTTATGTTACCCAAGTAATAGCTTTTATATCCTTTTACTCGTGTACGAATTGATTGCTCTACCATATTGTATTACTACTACTACTTTTGTCACTACTACTACTACTACTACTACCACTAGTGAACATCTAAATGGTACCTCACTAGTATTGCACCTCACTCTGAGCCTTTATATACCCTCTGTGTCCATGTATTGTTTGTAATGGCTTGATAAAGCTCCTGGAGAGCGAAACGTTGCCACAATAAAATGTCACATTAGTTGTACTTGTGTCCTTTTACTTTACATATTGTCGGTAATTCTACCAACTTTATTACAAAAATAAATTTAAAGAGTACTTGGGTGAATTATCTGGAAGAGAAGGATTCTGTATCAGCCCCAAGAGTAGAGGAACCATCACGCTTAAGTCAACAAATGTACACGATCATCCAAATATTGATCCTCAGTTTCTGTCACATCCAGATGATGTCATTGCTCTTGTTAAAGGGATAAAGGTCGCCTTGGTGGTGGGCAACACCTCAGCCTTCATCAACAACTTTGGAACTAAGTTTTATGATAAGCCTCTCCCTGGGTGCACCGGTGAAATACACGGTTCCGATTCCTACTGGGTTTATGTCCATCACATGTCTACAACTTTCTGCCATCTTACTGGGGACTGTAAGATGGCACCAGCTTCAGATCCTCATAGTGTGGTGGATCATACACTAAGGGTTCGTGGAGTGGGAGGACTGAAAGTAGTGGATGCCTCCATTATGACGTTTATTACCACTGCTAATACAAATGCTCCTACTATTATGATTACCGAGAAGGGAATAGAGAAAACTCGACAAGTACCTCGACCATATGTAGGATAAACCAGGCTGTGATGGACATGTGAGCCAGCGGGCTGCCAGCAGCACCAGTCTGGTTGATCAGGCGAAACTCTTCATGGGTGGCACCGGCTCGAACAGAAAATCTTTCACGCATTTTAATATTTTGCCTCATTCGCCCTTCAACGAGGTGCCTTAACGCTGGCCAAGGGCTCTAGATCCTAGGAATTGGACTTAGCCTCTCGTACGGGTTTACCGCTTCTTTGTGATAATATTCCAGGATCATCTTTCATTACAAGATGTTTGGAAAAATATAACGATGTCGAATTCCATATAATTATCATTTCTTGAAAAAATTCCGAGTGTCTTAATAACTCAGAAGATGAAATGTAAAGCAGTTTGTTGAGTGAAAGTTTGTTGAGTGAAAGTTTGTTGAGTGAAAGTTTGTTGAGTGAAAGTTTGTCGAGTGAAAGTTTGTTGAGTGAAAGTTTGTTGAGTGAAAGTTTGTCGAGTGAAAGTTTTTTTAGTGAAAGTTTGTTGAGTGAAAGTTTGTTGAGTGAAAGTTTGTTGAGTGAAAGTTTGTCGAGTGAAAGTTTGTTGAGTGAAAGTTTGTTGAGTGAAAGTTTGTTGAGTGAAAGTTTGTTGAGTGAAAGTTGTTTAGTGAAAGTTTGTTTGAGTGAAAGTTTGTCGAGTGAAAGTTTGTTGAGTGAAAGTTTGTTGAGTGAAAGTTTGTTGAGTGAAAGTTTGTTGAGTGAAAGTTTGTTGAGTGAAAGTTTGTTGAGTGAAAGTTTGTCGAGTGAAAGTTTTGGAGTTTAAAGTTTGTTGAGTGAAAGTTTGTTGAGTAAAAGTTTTTTTGAGTGAAAGTTTGTTGAGTAAAATTTGTTGAGTGAAATTTTGGGTTTGAGTGAAATTTTGGGGAAATTTTTGGGAAAATTTTTAGGAAAAAGTTTTGGTTTAAAAAAGTTTTGAGTGAAATTTTTTGGTAAAAAGTTTTTTTGAGGAAAGTTTTTTTTAGTAAAAGTTTGGGGAAAAGTTTGTGATTTAAAAAATTTGGGATGAAAATAAAAGTTTGTTAGTAAAGTTTTTTTTAAAAATTTTTTTTTAAAGTTTTTTTTAAATGGGGGGAATTTTTTAAAAACAATTGGGGGGTGTGTTTGAGGGGAATTTGTGGTTTTTGAGGTGTTAATTGTGTTGTTTTGTGGTGTTGTTGGTGTGTGGAATTTGTTGGTTTTTTTTTTGGTTTTTAAAATATTTTTGTTTTTTGGTTTGGTGTTTAAAAATTTTAAGGGGGGTTTTGTGTGTGTGTGTGTGTTGTGGTTGTGTGGTGTTTTGTGTGTGTTGTTTTTGTGTGTGGTGTTGTGTGTGTGTGTGAAAATGTTGTGTGTGTTTTGTGTGTGTGGGGTTTGTTTTTTGTGGGGTTTTGTGTTGTGTTGGGTGTTGTGTGTTTTATGTATGTGGGGTGTGTTTTGTGTGTTGTGAAAAGTATGTGTGTGGTGGTGTGTTTGTGTTTTGGTTGTGTGAAATTATTTGTGGTGTGTGTGTGTGTGTGTTGTGTTGTTGTTTTTGTGTGTGTTTTGTGTGTGTTTGTTGTGGGTGTGGGTTTTTGTGGGGTGTGTGGGTTGTATTTGTGGGGGTGGGGTTTGGGGTGTGTTTTATGTATTTTTGTTGGGGGGTTGTGTGTGTGTGGGGTTTTTATGTGTTTTGTGTGTGTGTGTGTGTTTTTTATGGGGTGTGTGTGGTGTTGGTGTGTTGAAATTGTTGTTGTGTGTGGGTTTTTGTTGTTTTGTGGGGTGTGTGTTTGTGTGTTGTATTGTTGTGTGTGTGTGGTGTTTTTTGTGTGTGTTGTTGTTGTTTTTTGGTGTGTGTGTGGGTGTGTGTTTGTTTTTGTGTGTGTGTGTGTGGTGTGTGTTGTTGTGTGTGTTGTGTGTGGTGTGTTTTTGTGTGTGTGGTGTGTGTTGGTTTGTGTAGTTTTGTGTGGGGTTGTGTGTGTGTGTGTGTGTTTTATGTAGGGTGTGGGGGTGGTGTGTGGTGTGTGTTTTGGGGGTGTGGGGTGTTTTTGTGTTTTTGTGTGTGTGTGTGTTGTGTTTTAGGGTATTTGTGTTTGTGGTTGTGTGTTGTATGTTGTTGTGTGGTGTGGTGTGTTTGTGTGTGTGTTTGTATGGGTGTGTGTGGTGTGTTGTTTTGTTTTGTGTGTGGTGTGTGTGTGTGTGTATGTTGTGTTGTTTGGTGTGTGTGTTTTGTGTGTTTTATTATTTTTGGTGTGGGTGTGTGTGGTGTGTGTGTGTTTTGTTGTTGGGTTTTGGGGGGGATGTTTGGGGTTTTGGGGTGTGTGTGTGTGTGTTGTATGTGTTTTGGTTTGGGGGGGGGTTGTGGGGGGTGGGGGTGTGGTGTTTGTGTGGGGAGTGTGTGGGTGGTGGGGGGTGGGTGTTTTGTGTTGGGGGGTGGGGGGGTGTGGGGGGGTGTGTGTGTTTTTGGGGTGTGTTTTGGGGTTTGGGGGGGTGGGGGGGGGTTTGTGTTGGGTGTGTGTGTTGTGGGGGGTTTGGTGTTTTGGGGTGTTGGGGTGTGTGTGTGGTGTGTGTGTGTTTTATAAAATTTTTTACTCCCCCTAGTTGGGTTGGGGGGGGGTCGACCCAACTCCTGGCCCCGCCTTTTCCTGTTTCGCTAAAAAGGTCACTCTCCCCCTTAGCCGTGAGCTTTACCCATACCTCTGTTTAAAAGCTATTTTTGGTTTTCCTTTCCCCACTCCCATCCCCTTTCCCAAACTTTTCCCCACTTACTGTTTTACTCTGGGGCGAAGAAATATTTCCAACATCCCTTTTTCATCTTGTATTCACCCCTTCCCAAACGGGGGTTACTGTGTCCAATCTCGAACATCCTGTCTTTGTTAACCTTTTCATTTCCCCTTTTCCCAGTATTTTGTATCCCTTTTACCCAGTCCCCCCTACTCCCCCTGTCCCCCCTAGTGTCGTCAGGTTGTTTTCCCTTTAAAACCTCCCCCTCGTAAACATACCTCTTATCCCCTGGGACAAGTCTTGTTGAAAACCCTTTTGCACTTTCCATAATTTTTTAAAACGTGCTTCCCCCGGTTTTGGTTTCCCCAAACTGGTGCCCCCTACTCCAAAAAGGGCCAAAACAAACACGGTTACAGGGTCCTGAACGATTCCTTTTTAAACAGGGCCCATCACATACCCTGTTAGATGTGTTTTAATTTTTGGTGTGTGTGTATGTGTTTTATGTGTGTTTGTGTGAAATTGTGGTGTATGTTGTGTGCATTTTGGGGTGTGTAGGGTGTGTGTGGTATTTTTGTGTGGGGTTTTTGTGTGTGTGGGCATGTGTGGGTGTGTATGTGTATATGTGTGTGTGTTGTGTGTGTGTGTTTTAGGTGGGGGGTGTGTGAAATGTATATGGTGTGAGTATGTGTTTGGGGTGTTTTGTGTGTGTGGTGTTGTGTGTTGTGTGTGTTTGGTATTTTGTGGAAAGTATGTGTGTGTGTGTGAGTGTATGTGTGTATCAGGCGTGGGGTGTGTGTGTGTTTGGTGTGTTGTGTGTGGGGTTGTATTTTTTTTTTAGTATTTTGAAAGGTGTGGGGTTGGTTTTGTGGGGTTTGTTGTGTATTTTTTGGTGTGTGTGTGTATGTGTGTTTTGGTGTTGTATGTGTTTGTGTGTGGTGTGTATTTTGTGTTTGTGTATGTATTTGTGTGGTGGGGGTGTTTTGGATGTGTTTTGGTGTGTGTGGTGTGGTGTGTTTTTTGTGTATTTTTTGTGTGTGTTGTGTGTGTGGGGTTTTGTGTGTGGTGTGTAGGGTTGTGTTTTTGTGTGTGTGTTATGTGGTGTACTCACCAAATTGACCACCAATTTGGTTGCAGGGGCCCGAGCCCTTCAGCCCTGGCCCCGCCTTTTTCCAAAATGATCGCAAACGGGGCCCCTCTCTCTCTCTGTTTTCCTGAGCTTTGCAAAACCCCCTTTTAACTAATAACATAAAAAAGGGAAAGGAACACTGAAAGGGGGGCCGCGGGCCCAAACCCAAAGGCGGGTCCTTTAAAATTCATCCCACTAAAAAAACCCAATTTGGCCCCCAAACCCCAAATTTTTAAATCCACCCAAGAAAAAAAGCTCTGATTGAAAGCCCCACTCATGTACTTATCCAACCTAGTTTTGAAACTACCCAAAGCCCCAGCCTCAAAACCCAACTATAGACTGTTTTCCCCTCATCAATACCCTAAATTTTCCCAAAACCAAAAACTTTTTCCCAAAGTCGTTTCTTTTTTTAAACTAAACTTAAACTAAATTTAAAACCATTACTGCGGGGGTTTTCTCTTGGGGAAAACATCCTCAAACCTTATTAAAAAATCCCCCTTTTTTAAAAACCTAACTTCCACTTATACACTTTTGAAAAAAAGTCTCCCCCATTATTCGTCCCAACAATTAATTAACTTTAAAAGCCCCAATCTTTTTTTCATAAGGGAAAATTTTTAATCTATGTTTAATTTAGTCATCCCAAAGCTGAAAATTTTTTTTAACGAATTTATTCCATTTTTTTAATACGGGGACCCAAAACGGGGGCGCATAACTAGGGGAGGCCTTAATAAGGGTGTATAAAAAACTGCAGTATGACCCTGGACCCTTTTGTTGCTTACACCCTTTTTGATATAAATTTCCCCGTAATCTATTTGCCTTATACGTACGCTTAGGGAATTTCCCGTCTTTGGGTTTTAAGGGTTCTGCTCACCATAACCCCCAATCCTTTTCCCCGATCTCTAGGGTAAGTTCAAAATCATTTTTCTTATAAGTACAGGGTTTTGGGCACTCCCAAGGGTTCATAACCTTTCAAATTTAAACTACATGAACTGCATTTTGCCACTTTTTTGACCAAAAAATGAGTTTGTTTTTAAAACCCCGAAGGGTTTCCCTAACATCTACTTTTTAAACAAAAGTCCACCTAACTTTTTTTCGGAAATTTTTCTCATACACAAATTAATTCCCCCCATCAAGATCATTGATATATATTATAAACAACAACGGCCCAAGACTGATTTCCCCGTGGA